AGTGGTAGAGTACCTGCCTAGCATGCCTGATGCCCGGTGTTTGATCCCTAGCACCACAAAAGAAAAAAAAAAAAAGAATGAAATAAAAATTAATCCACTGGCTTCCTATCTCATTAAGGTTAAGAAACTGTTTCAAGTATTGTTTACAAGGCCACACACAATCTGCTCTCCCTCTCCCCTACCATCACCTCTTATTCACTTGAACTTTTTACTTTGATAAAAAACAAACTAGCCTCCTGCTATATTCCTCTAAAACTTTGCACACATGGCTAACTGTTTCACTTTCTTCAAGTCTTTTCTTTTCTTTTAGAGAGAGAGAGAGAGAGAATTTTAATATTTATTTTTAGTTATCGGCGGACACAACATCTTTGTTTGTATGTGGTGCTGAGGATCGAACCCGGGCCGCACGCATGCCAGGCCGAGCGCCCTACCGCTTGAGCCACATCCCCAGCCCAAGTCTTTTCTTTTTGTACCAGGGATTGAACCCATGGGTGCTTAACCAATGAGCCACATCCCCAGACCTTTTTTTTTTATTTTTTATTTTGAGACAGGGTCTCGCTAAGTTGTTTTAGAGCCTTGCTAAATTGCTGAGGCTTGCCCTGAACTCCTGACCCTCCTGCTTCAGCCTCCCTAGCTGCTGGGATTACAGGCATGAACCTCAAACCAGGCTTCAAATCTTTTTAAACACTTCCTTCACAATAAGATCTTCTGTCATTCCATTTAAAATTACAATATTCTTCCCAATATACTCTCTTATACCTCTTATTAGGTTTCTCTACAGACCTTATCATCATCTGACATACTATAAATTTCACTGTTTCTTTTAGTGCTAGGGATTGAAACAAGGGTCTCATATATGCACAGGCTGCATGCTCTACCACTGAGCTATACCCCCACCCTAAATTTTACTTTTTTATTGTGCCTTCTCCTAGTAAAATATAAGCTCCATGAAAGGAAGGATTTCCTGTGCTTTGTTCAACATTGTAACCCCAGAACCCCTGGTAATTATTACATAGCAGGCACTCCATCTTTTGTAAAATAAATCCCAAATCCTCTTTCATTCCCCCCACGTCTGATCTACAAATACTACGATTTTACATCTCAAATTTCTTTCAAATTTGTTCTCATTCTAATAGTTACTATCTTCTTTCAGGTCTTAATATGTTCATTCATTTGACAAACAGTTACTGAGCACCTACAATGTGTCAAGTTTTATCTTAGATACAGGGAAATAATCATGAACAAAACAGAAAGAGTTCTTACACACACACACACCCAGCTTACAATCTAGCAGGGAAACAAAACAACTAGTGGTCAAGTAAACACTGTATAATTTTTTAATAAAAGTATTAGGCCTAGAGAATCATATGAAAAGTTGCCTAAATATATGTGTGAACAGAACCAGGAAGGACTCCTTGTTTGACTGCTATCTGAAGGGTAACTAGTAGTTATAAGAGTTGAAAAGGGAGAGTGGCAGGAGCACTGCAGCCAAAAGTAAACTACAAGTAAGGTTCAGGGTTCCAAAGGAAAGGCACTTCATAGTGATTAAGAATATGAATTTTTTAAAAATATTTTTAGTTGTAGATGGTAACAATACATTTTGTTTGTTTATTTTTATGTAGTGCTGAGGATGGAACCCAGTGCCTCATTTGTGCTAAGGCAAGCTCTCCACCACTGAGCCACAACCCTAGCCCAAGAATATGAATTTTGAAGACAGTTTGGATATGACACCCCATTTATTAACTGTGTGACCTAGGTCAGATTACTATCTCTGGGCTTTGATTTTTACTTTTAAATGAAGATATAGAGATATTTCTTTAATAGGCTTATTATAAGAATCAGATCAGTTAATGTACACAAATGGCTTCAACCAGTACTTGCCACATAGCAAATGATTTGTGTTAGCAATCAATGACACACCCATTTTGAAGAAATGAAATAAAGTAAGATCACTGTAGTAGGCACGTGAGAAATTAAGCTGGATAGATCGGTAGCCATATAATTAAAAGGTTTTAAGCCGGGGAAAATACTATAATAAACATCTAACTGATGAAATCCTTCCCTCTCCAGATTCCATCTTCCACACTGCCAAAGAACACAAACTAATCATATTAGGTTCCTCCATTCAGATTTCCAAAGGCTCCCAGCTCTGCTTATGACTATATGACAAGAATCAGAACTCCTTATACAATTTAGAAGGCCCTTGTCAGTATCACTCCAATTTACATTTTTAATCACAAAATTTATCAACTTTCTAAACTACCTTCAGTCAGCAACGTAAGGCACTTCACATTTCAATCATACAAATGTCTAACAGTTCTCAACACTCTGATACTACTATACTTTTCTGTCTTTCTCCTTTACAACAGTTCCTTTCCTCGTGTTGAACTGGAAGTCTGGCATTGTTACAGTTCAAGCATTTTCAACCACAGTTCAGTCTCTCTTTCCAACTGTGTTAGAATGACTGCATTGCTAAAAAATTTTCAGAAGTTTATAGTTGATGTGGACTTACCTATCAATTCATAAAATATTTTTTCTTCCTACTTCAAAGTTTGTTTCTTTCTTCTAAAGTCCCATACTAAAGCCCCAAATTCTCTTCATAAAATTGAAAAGATATTTTTCGAAAGGCAATAAAACCCTAAAGCAACCCAAAAGTCAGGATTACTCTATCAAGATCACCAGTGGAACCAAGCATTAACTATCCAGAATAAAGATTAAAGGCATGGCTTCTTAACCAGAGGTCCACGGACTCCTCAGGTCAATAAGGTATTTTTATGAAGCCCCTCAAATCGCATGCAAAGTATGTGTACATGCCTTTTTCTGGGAAGAGGGTCCATACCTTTCATCAGAGTTTCAAAGATATCTGTGACCTCCAAAAGGTTAAGAAGCACTCTAGAGAAAAAGCAAAGACAAGCAAATATGATTAAAGAATGAGCCCAGTTTAGACCCTCAGGAGTGCCACATGTTCTCTTAGACTGTTAATACTTAAAACCAAGTCAGAGAACATTATGTAAAAGTGACTTATCCAAGTAAATGCAAATTTAATATGGGGCTGATAAATACTGATTTTTATGGAAAAAGGAACTCCACAAAACTGTCATGGGGCGGCTGATGACTTAATCTAGGGTTTCAAGAATGGAACAAATAGAAGAAAATATTTGCTCTTCTATTTATATTAATTCTCATTCATCTAAAATTTATCTTCAGTGTTTTATACAAACAGTACAGAAGTACATAAATTATACAAATTGTGTGTGTGTGTGTGTTTATATATATAAACACACACACACACATAAATGGAAGTTGTTGCTCAGTTTTTCTTACTTGTTACAGTAAATATCAGGAGACTACTGATATCATTTACACATTCCAGCACCATCAAGCTAACAGTAACTCTAAAAACACTAGTACAATTTAGAATCTAATAGTTAAGAAATACGTCGACTTTCACAGAAAGGCTTATGATTAAGGATAGGACCTTTTCCTACATTTACTCCATATTTTTCTTTTCTTTTTTTTAATTCAATCAGGCATTAAAATTTAAAAGATCAGTTTTCAGTTTTCTCTCAATCAGCCTGGTTTGTCCAAGGTTCCCAGAATGACAGGATGAAAACATCTAACGGAAACTACTTGTGAAATCAAAAGTATACACAAATAATCAAGATATTCTTTTAACTCTTCCTAAAAGAAAGTACTCTCTCCTTCCAGGAGAGTATAACAAAACTACCAAGAGTTCCAAAAGATACAACTTAAAACTCTGATTCAGAGTGTCACCCAGTGGAGACAGCAAGAGATGCAGGGTCCATCAAAGATCAAACAGGGCAGAGATAATCTAACCTTGCAACTGTTTTTCAAAAATACTGCAGCTGAGAGTTTCTCTCTGGAGGTTGGGGGTGACCAGAGCGAAGGCTGGCAGTCAGAGGTAAATTGTGAGAAAACTGGAAAAACTTTTAAGCTGAGGTGTTTTATTTTTACAAATTCTTCCAGCTGCCTCATTCCCAGGTCTTTATTATAGGGAGGTCTATATTTTGCGGCCTCACGCAGGTTTCAAAATTTGCCCAGGGGGCGTAAGCCCACCTATAAAAAGGGATTGGAAGCATTTTCTGGATCCTGTTTGGTGACATGTTCCAATAGAAATAAGGAAAAATGGGTATCGTCTGCTAACAGTAGTATCTCAGCTTTAGACAACAGACAGGAAAGTATCAATTCTGGGGAGAAAAACGGGTCCTGGGTCCGGCACAGGGACCGGAGGAGGGACTACTGACGTAATGCGGTTCTGATGAGAAACGAGGAGTTCAGCATAACAGATAGAAGGCATTTGCACGGCCCGGTGAGCAAGGGTGACGGGAAATACAACAATAGGAAGGAAGACGAAATAACAAGTAAAGATACCAATAAAACTGTGAGAAGAAATGGGAAATTAGGGGAGGCCTGGGAAGGGAGACAAAAGAACTACGGCGGGAAATGAAGTGGAAAAGCCTGAAAGAAGGACATTTAGGAAAAGAAGACGCAAGCCACTCTCCAGAATTCAGTTCCCAGAAGAGCCCACCTAACCCCTTCCCTCACTTCGCGGTACCTTCAACTTATGGAGCTCCACCGTCTCCGTCGCCATCTTGTTACCCCTCCACTTCACCAAACCCCACCCCCCGCGCCTCCGCCTCCGGGAGCTCCCGCCTAGGCGTGAAGATTGAAGGCCGACCAATCGTTGCCACTCTTACTCAAATCCCGTACTATAGGCTCTTCCCATTAGTCAATGGCTGGCGTCGCTCTCTTGCCCCTCAGTAACTTTCCCAGCTCTCTGAAAGGTGGGACCCAGAGAAAGGCGGGTTCTGAATTCTCTTAATGACAGAAAGGGCGGCCAATTGTCCGTCTTCATTACAGTCTGCCAACCAATTGGTGGTGACATCGCTGGTTCTGTTCCACCAATAGGGAGCCCGCAGGTGTGGAGGCTACTTCCTGGAGACCACAGGTATAGGAGCTAGCGCCGTGACCCTATACGGACGTGCTCCTGAAGCTGGCAGGTATGGGTTCCGCTGTGGATAGACTGGAAAGGGTTGCGGAGTGAAAATGAAGGGAGGAGGAAAGGGCGGCGGGAGGCGGCACGTGAAATACCGAGAAAGGAGTGCTGAAGAGAGCCCTAGAAAGCCACCAACGAGCGAAAAGAGGGAAGCTAGGAGTTGTATGGGGTGTGCTCAGTACTAGGATTCAGGGAATTTTAGGGAGGGCAAGAGCTGCTTCCTAACTACCTATCCTCTGTGTTAGACCTAGCACTATTTATTTATGATACTGGGATTGAACCCAGGGGCACTGTGCCACTGAGCTACATCACCAGCCTTTTTTTTTTTTTTTTTTTTTTTGAGAAGGGGTCTCGCTGAATCACCGAGATTTGCAGTCCTCCTGCCTCAGCCTCCCGAGTGTTAGCACGATTTTAGTAGCCACGTTCAGACTAGAACTGCCCCTAGCAAAACTGGGGCACCACTCAAGGCGCTAAGCTCAGGTCCCTTTCTGGCCCAATTTAGAAACTGGGCAAGTTCTTGTGGCCTCCACGCTTGAGGGAAGGAATGAGGTTACTAGCCGCTGACATGCCTAGAGACAGGTCGGACAAGCCCCAGCGAAAAAGGTGGGGACTCGAGGTAGCTTTACTCTAATCCCTTGTATTGGTCCCGATTTATTTTACTACTCTTCTGGAACTTTGGGTATATGTGGCCTCTTCATCATTCCTTATCCTTAAGAAAGGTAAAGTGAGATACTCCTATTTTCCCCTGCTCCTAGAAGTGGATACCCCAAGCCTAGGCTTACTGCCTTGTTGCAGTTGAAGTGTAAGGATCTGAATAAAAATCACCACATCTCTACAAGAAGGATGGACTATTCTTGGCTTTTCAAGTTTTCCCCCCCTAGTCTTCAGTTTTTCCTTTCTGCATGATAGGGAAATTCTTTGATTCCCAATAGAATTCAGAGAATTTTGGCTCTTCAGGAGATAACTATGGGAAACAAACTCAAACAGGGGTTGAGAGGAAATTGAGTTGGACTCCCACCTGATCCCTCACTGTGGTAGGATGAATGTGGGGGTGGCACACAGTGAAGTAAACCCCAACACCCGAGTGATGAATAGTCGGGGCATCTGGCTGGCCTACATCATCTTGGTAGGACTGCTGCATGTGGTTCTACTCAGCATCCCCTTCTTCAGCATTCCTGTTGTCTGGACCCTGACCAACGTCATCCATAACTTGGTGAGCACTAAAACATGGCCCTTGTACCAACCCTAGGTCTTTCCCAATCGGAAACAAAATTAAATTGGGGACTTTTATCTTCCTTTTGGGGTCTCAGCATAATTCTTGGGTAGAAGGACTACTTTCTATCCCTAACACCATCCTTTTCCCTCTTCCCAGGCAATGTATATCTTCTTACATACAGTGAAAGGAACACCCTTTGAAACCCCTGACCAAGGAAAGGCTCGGCTACTGACGCACTGGGAGCAGATGGACTATGGGCTCCAGTTTACCTCTTCCCGCAAATTCCTTAGCATCTCTCCTATCATACTGTGAGTCTCTGGGGATTAGGGTAGACGCTGGATTAGAAACAGCTCCAAAAACCAGGTGGAATGGCTCATAGAGAAGCTTTTAAAAAGCAGACCGCTCATCTAAGACCCTTTGAAGATACTATGATACACTAGTCCTGAGCCTATAGAGAACAGTAAAAAGTAAAATTCAGTAATCAAGCAATCCTCACTGCCTCCTTGGACACGGGGAATAGAGAAAGAACTGAAGAAATATGACACCAACTAATTTTACACTTCTAAAAGCAAATAGATTAAGGCAGAAGTGATATTAATCTTCAAAAACTGGGCAGTAGAAGCAAAAAGGACTCTTAAGAGTCATACAGGCTGAAGCAACTTCAACTATCATTGCCATTTGTCATTAACAACAAACTGACTTGTAATTGCTAGTTAAAGCTACTGTGTGTTTACTCCTTTGTCCCAAAGTAAATACTATTGATATAGCTGGAATATTCTCAGATATCCAAGGATATTTAAAATAAGACACTTCAAAAAAGCAAGAACAGGGATGTGGAAGGCCAACCTCACTCATTCTATTTTTTTTTCTCCCAGCTATCTCCTGGCCAGCTTCTACACCAAATATGATGCTGCTCACTTCCTCATCAACACTACCTCACTGCTCAGTGTACTGCTGCCTAAGTTACCTCAATTCCATGGGGTTCGTCTCTTTGGCATTAACAAATACTGAGGGATGGGGCTAAGAACAGTTCCACGGGCATGGAGAAGGTGCTGGAAAATAAGGCTATAACATCTTCCCCTTTGTGTGTCTTGAAAGTCCGAGAAGTATATAACCTCTCCCCAAACTCTCAGAAAGGGGAGATTAGGAAATGGGGCTCCTGGGCCCAGCCCTGCTATGTGCAAGATTCTTTGAATCCGGAAAAGCAGATGGGGTTAAGAGCCAAATCAACAGGAAGGTATCCAAGTTTGGGCAGCTTGTTTGGTGATTACATTTTTCCATATCTTCCACCCCTACCACCTTCTAGCTTCTGCTTTGTCTTTTCCTTATAATAAAGTAACTTTTTCAGTGATGGCTACAATTCAATCAGCAAGAGATGTAAGGAGATGTCTTCATAATGCTGGGGAGGAAAGATGCAATACAAACTCTTTATATAAAACTGTAAGCAATTTTTTATCCCTTCTCCCTTGGTCCAATAGGAGATCCTCTTCACTCATATAAAAGTAGGGAAAGGATTCTCAAATGAGAAAAAAGGGCTGTAGCTATATAGGCAAAGAAGAAAGGGAAGATACAGGTTGCCAGTTATATATTTATAGAAAGATAATCCCCTGGCTTTAAATAGATATGTACATACAAATATGAACAAACTTAAAAAAATACAAACCCTTGGATCACAAGAGGGCTTCTAGGAACCCCTTATCCTTTCCCCTCACCCAAGGGCACAGGGCATGAGTCTGCTTCTTAAAAATTATTAATTTTGGCCATCCTTGCAGCAATAAGCCTGAAGTGGGATGATTTTCCCACAAGGTAAAAGTCAGAGGAAAAGTTCAGTTTACACTCTTTGAACTCTATGCATCTTCAAAATTAGGGCTACATGCTTTCTTGTTCTGTCTTTTAACTAGTATATCAGAGTAAAGGAGGGGGCTTCCCCCTGAAATGGGTCAAGAAATAAGATAGACTCAGTTTAAAAAGCAGGGGTAGGGTAATATCATCTGCTATAAAAGCAAATGACAAGACAAAGGCATACAGACCCCAGGGAAATACCCAATTCCCATACCTCAAAGGGATACATTGTCCAGCCTAGGTCCAGGCCTTAGGTTCTTTGCTCTAGCCACCCCCTGTTTCTTTGGTATTGTCAGAAGACAAGATTCAGTTCCTGGGTGCTGGGGGAGGAAGGCGAGTGGTTCAGGGGCTTCCTACAAGTACTGAGTGAACAATTTAAGCTTAACATTTTCCCTTTTTAAAATATTTAAAAATAATCAAATCAAACTCCATCCTGTGCTGTACACAGCCCTTTTGACTCCCTGACAATGATTTGAGGAAAAAAGAGAAGGGGCATCAACGTTGGAAGGGCCTCCTCACTTTCTTCCGCCGCTTCGGTTTGGCTTCTCCCTTGGGTACTGTGCTGTTGGGTTTGGAGGCTGCAGTGGCCCCAGGGCCAGGCTGAGGAGCTGCAAAGAAGTTCCCATTGGACATCTGGCCTGGGGGTACTTGAAAGATCCGACTCAAGAAATCCTGAAGGTCAGCGGGAGGGGCATCTGGGGTGGCTCTGAGGAGGAAAAAAAACAATATGACAAGAAATGTTAAGAGTCATATGCTTACTTAAGGTACAGATACATTGAGTTAGTTCCCAAACTTCCTAGAGAGGCACCTAGGTGTTCTAAACAGCAGATCATCTGAAACCACATTCAAAACCAGAATGGTGGATAGGTAATTGAGGAATACCACCTACCTCTGGCGACCACTGGTACCTGGGATCCGAGAACCAAATGAGATGTGATAGGGAACTCTGTGGGTATCTGGGGAGATTCCAACGCGCTGGCATCCAGCCCACTCTGCAAACAGGAGAAATAATTAGCCAAAACATCATAGTTTAGACCATATGCGATGAAGCAAGCCCATATTTCTAGAGGATAGATGTGTACCTGTGATGTCATAGACCTTTCCATCCATCAGTGCAAAGTAGGTAATTTTGAGGCCCAACATGCTTGATTCTGCCCAAAAGTCTCCTTCCTCAGCAGGGTGCAGCCTATTACACTCAGCACAGTATCTGGCACTTTTAGGTTCCCGGTCCATTTCAAACCTCCTGAAATGCAAAACAAAATGATAGTTCCTTGATAGTTACCAAGCCTACATACAGCAATGCTAGTAATCTCATCATTGTTGTCAAATATAGCTAAAAGATTTAAAATTATCTCCACTAGGTTGTTACATATGCCTGTTTACACTATGCCCTCAATTTTCTATCTTAGCTAATTTTTCTGTCTTACTGCTAATCTGAATCAACCTCTTGATAGTACGGCTAAGGTACAAACCTCACCATCTGTATCCTAAAATTACCAAAAATACTCAAGAAGAAAGTCTTTGTTACCCAGTTCCTGAGCTGTGGCTGTCCCATCCCTGTCCTATATCATACCTATGCTTTCCTTGGCATCGGCTACACATCATGGTGTTCATTGCTTCCTTCAAGTCATCTTGCAGCTTGGACAGAAACTCGTTCACAGACCGGCTCAACTCATTTTCTGCCATTCGTTTCCTAAAAGAAAGCCTTTGTAAGTCAGAGAATACTGAGGGAGGGACAACAAGAGGGGCATCTATTCACCCCTTGAACTACCTGGCTCATCAGAAGAAAGTAACTGCAGTTCTCTTTGCCTGAGAGCCTCCATCCACAAGTTCAGGGGCCTCTCCCATTGAGGAATTTTCATTTTATCTCACCTAACAATTTCCCATCTCTAACTTACATCTCATATTCCTTCCGCCTTTCAGGGTTGCTGACAATGTCCCAAGCTGCCCGCAAAACCTTGAAGGCCTCTTCAGCCCGGGGATGTTGATTTTTATCTGGATGAACCTACCAGAACAAAGAGATTTAATCACAAATCCATTTCAACCCTCTCCCCATCTTAGGTCTATTCCCATATAACAGAGTTCTCTTTCATCACCCTTTTGAAGATTCAGTATACCTTTTTTTTTTTTCTTTTTTGAAGTTGTAGATGAACATAGTACTTTTATTTATTTAATTTTATGTGGTACTGAGGATAGAACCCGGTGCCTCACACATGCTAGGCAAGCATTCTACCACTGAGCTACAACCCCAACCCTTCAATATGATTAATTATGCTGGCTTTGCCCCTGGATCTGGGTTCAAATCCCAGCTGTAATTTATGAGCTCTATGACCTTGAATATATCTATCATGAATTTTTTTAAATATTTGTCTTTAGTTGTAGTTGGACACAATACCTTTATTTTATTTACTTATTTTTATGTGGTGCTGAAGATCGAACCCAGGGCCTCACACATGCAAGGTGAGCACTCTACCGCTGAGCCACAATCTCAGCCCCTATCATGAATTCTTAGGAGGATTAAATAAGAATACATGTGCCAGGCATAGTGGCATATACCTATAATTGTAGCTACTCAAGAGGCTGATGCCTCAAATTTGAGACCAGCCTCGGTAATCTAGCAACAACCTTTTTCAAAATAAAAAGGGCTGGGGATATATCTCTGTAGTAAAGCACCCCTGTGTTCAATCCCCAGTACAACAAAAAAAAAGTCTAGGGCTAGTGGTAGGGGGAGTTATTGCACTGAATCTGGCACTAGGGTGACTCACCATCCCAGTTTGCCTGAGACTACCCCAATTTAGCACTGAAAGTTCCACATGTCAGGAAACCCCACAACCTCAAATAGGCAAATAGGGATGGTTGGTCCCTTTACCTGGCACACATATACTAAGCCCTTGCACTTCAGTTTTATAATCAGCCATAAAGAGTTCCAAAGATGCCGGGCATGGTTGCACACGCCTGTAATCCCAGCAAGTTGGGAGGCTGAGACAGGAGGATTGCAGTTCAAGGCCAGCCTCAGCAACTTAATGAGGCCCTAAGCAACTTAGCAAGACTTTGCCTCAAAAAATAAAAAGGGCTGGGGATGGGGTTGTGGCTCAGTGGTAAAGCGTTTGCCCAGCACATGTGAGACACTGGGTTTGATCTTCAACATCACATAAAAATAAAATAAAGGTATTGTGCCCTACTACATCTAAAAATAAAATACTTAAAAAAAAATAGGGGGGTAGGGCTGGGGCTCAGTAGTAGCGCACTTGCATAACGTGTGAGGCACTGGGTTTTATTCACAGCACTGCATATGAATAAATTTTTAAAAAAATAAAGTTTTATCAACAGCTGAAAAAATATTTTTAAGAGTCAGAATAGCTGGGCATGTAGCTCAGTGGTAAAGAGTCCCAAAGATGTTACATGTTCACACTCGTCCTTTCTCTAACTAGAACATTTTCATATCCAAAACTTTCTACTATAATCTGTTTTTTTGTCTCCAAAATGAAATAGCATATGAAGATATCAGAGACTAGTGTGTGCCTATAATCCCAGTGGCTAGGGAGGCTGACGCAGGAGGAAAGCGAGTTCAAAGCCAACCTCAGAAATTTGGCAAGGCCCTAAGCAACTCAGTGAGACCCTGTCTCTAAATAAAATACAAAAAATGGATTGTGATGTGGCTCTGTGGTTGAGTGTCCCTGAGTTCAATCCTTGGTACCAAAAAAAAAAAAAAATGTCATAGGCTTATAATAATTCAGTCTTTCTTTCATGACAAATAATAACCTCTCTTTCTACAGCTTCCTGATTGTTACTATCCCTGTTCCCAAAAATACAGAGATATAGTGAGTCTCCTCACTGATGCCCACCCCTCCCCCAACAAAGAATGCTATTAAATTCCTACATTCTCAAACTAATATAACAGCCTTTTAGACACGTTCACACAGGGGCCTAGTAAGGTCAGTGAGAAACTCTATAAAAAAAGCTAACAAACTCTTGCCCAAAACAAGAGAGAACTTCAGAGTGTAGGACGCCCACACACAAGAACTTTGGGTGTGTAAAGGGAACTTAACCTTATTTTCACTCCAAGAGAAGTAAGTTGAAAATGAGAATTTTTGTAAGAATTATATCCTGCAGGAGATAACTGCTAAAACACACAAAAAAAGAACTCTACTAGTAGTAACAATCTGAGGGTAAGCAGTTGCTTCTACACTAAGAATATCTTAGGCTATCCACTAAGGGGTATGCATTTTCCAGTTCTTTGGTAAGTTACAGGCCTGATTGTACCATTAATCATTAAGGGAAACTTTGGTTGCCCATTCCTTTTTGGTGTCATGTAGTCTTTGAAGTAATTTGCATACTATGATGTATAACCAGTCCAGCTCCATAACCAATGGAAGTAGGTCTCCATTGCAATTTACACACTTTACTTACATTCATAACAGTTTTAGTTGTAAAAAATATCAATAACAATCATGTATCTAAAAAATAGCAACTTAATACCTACTTCTAATAGCAATTTGACTGCATGCTAGCATTAAACCATTTCCTTCAAGCATATGGAATATCACAACTCCTACCTATACACAACCTTATCACTAAAAGCAACCATACTTTCAGGTACAAATACATATGCATATACTTCTTTGTGATTTATGTTCCATTTTCCTGCCCTTTCATATTCTGGGTTGCTGATCTAGAAATACTATGTTTTTTCTACCTGGTCCTGGAGTAAACATTCAGGTGCACTCCCTGAATCTTCCCAGACTAGATCCACACTTGCCTATCTAGGAGAGACAGCAGGGTTGCCCCATGTTTAAAAATCCTCCTTTATTCAGGGGAGAGCATCTGAGGTACTCTGTGACTAGCAGGCTCTTCCCCACCCTAAAGGGATTTCATCTAGCTATTCCAGGATGAGTGAGTTCAACAATGCTTGCTATAACAAGTTCCAAAGGAGGACAGGGGCAAAAATCATGACAAAAAAATACTTTAAATGGAAGGAAGGTCAGATCCCATAGTACAGAGAATAAGTCTTTATGAGCCAGCCACCGTGGCACACACCTATAATCCCAGCTACTCAGGAGACTAGGCAAGAGGATCATAAGTTTGAGGTCAGCCTGGGCAACTTATTGAGACCCTGTCTCAATATATAAGACACAAAGGGCTGGGGCTATAGTTCAGTAGTAAAGCTCCCCTGGGTTCAATCCCCAGTACCAAAAATGTCCTAAGAATTTTATCCGTCAGCTTCAATTGATTTTCTGAGTTTCCTTTATTGTCTCCCTAAAACTGAAACAGAAAATAAAATATGGAAACAAAGAGGAATAGGAAATACAGGGAAGAGTACTCACCATCACTGCCAGCTGCCTATAGGCCTTCTTCAGTTCAATATCTGATGCTGTGGTTTCAACCCCAAGCACATGGAAAGGGTTTAACTCATCCTCAGGAACCCCAACCATGCTCAAGAGTCGAGCCACTTCCTCTTCAGGATGGCAGTAGCGTCCACTAGCTATAGGTGTATTCCCCTGCCTATTAGTCCTCTGCTTGACCCAGGGCAACTCCAGCCAACCCCACTGAACTATTCTTACCAGCTGCTGCCATGGCCTGCTATCTCTCAGCACAGTCAAGCAATGCTGCAAGGCTGGAGAATCCAGCCAAGAGAAGAGCCAGGTGGCCTTATCCCTCCAGCCTAAACGGTCACCCAGTCCCACCAGAAACCGCCAGCCCAACTGTAGACAGCCCAAAAAGAGGGCCAGTGCCAGGAGCAGCAAAGCACCCAGTAACCTAAGAAAACGGGTGAACAGTCCTACCCCATAGTAAAACCCTTGGCGTAGAAACTGGAACATCATCTGGGCCCAGCCCCCCACCCTCCCTGCCCAGATTCCCACCCAAACTCGAAAAAGGTCCAGATCACGGCCTTTTAGCTGTCTGCATGCATAGATGAGATGGCCACAAGTTTCCACATACTCTCCCACCAATACCAGCAGTTCAATCAGCCACCAAAAGCCTGCCTGTCCAAGCTGACATAGTTCCTCTGCTCCCCACAATCCCAGACCTCTGCGCTTATCTGCCTGACTTCGTTTTCTGCCCAACCGATGTCGACCAGGAGACCTGGGATCTCTACGTCCACCCTCCCGAGTATCCTCCTTGGTTGGAAAGCGATGTCGCTGTCTCCGAGATGGGGGTTTCTTTCCGCTGGACACACGTGAAAAATCACTGGGGAATTTAAGAGGTTCCTCATCATCGTATTCCTCTTCCAACTCTTCATCTTCCCCCAAGGCTGGAGAGGTACAATGGTGACAAAAGTTGCTAGAAGAGCCATCTCCTCCCTCAGAATATGGCCCTTCAGGGACTCCAGGGGTTCCCTGGCAGTTACAAGCAGATGGAATGGAAAGAAAAGAAGGGTTCCCATCCTCTTGGTACCCGACATCATTCTCTCTTGAGAGTTCCTGGTCCACTCCTGACTCTTCTGAAGATGCCCCACTCTGATCAGGGTCCTCTCCTTCCCTAGGTGGTCCTGGACCCCTTGGGGGGCCATGGCTTGGATCCGACCAGTGGGATGGGTTTGGGGGCCGTGTGTACTTAGGACCAGAGTGCTCTGTGAGGCAGCGGGTACCATTAGGAGCAGTCCCTGCTGAGTCCCTGAGTCCTGAGAATGAAAGTATTTCAGGGTCCGCAGAGGATCCTAAAGTCCTGAGGGAGGCACCACCACTTTGGTGGGCTCCACACAACCCTCTTTCTCCAGGGGGCTTCTGGGCCATGACCCCAGGGCTTCCTGAGGGTTTTAGGTCACAGCCATCATTATAAGTTCAGATGCCTGGAACAAAGGTATCAAGATGGGGAAGGTCAAGGTGGGAACCAAGAGAAGAGTTAAACAATCTTAAAGTGGGGACATATTCAGTGTAGGCATCCCCCTCATTATCCCAAGTTTTTCTAGGGCATTCATTAGCCCTAACAATAAGCCAGAACCAGACTAACTGCATCTTTGCTTGACATACATATACATATATACATACATACATACATACATACACACACACACACACACACACACACCACCGATCTCCGTAGTCTTTCTTCATTCCCCAGGAAGCTATAATCTTCAATCAGGAAGAGAGGGAAGGACGGCAAAGGGTGTGGTCCGGGGGTCACTCTTAAGAAAAAGAGAAAGACGGTAGGAAAGGGGGCGCCGCAGACTGTCAGAAAAGGGTGGGGACTGTGCGGCCCTCAAGGAAAAGCTGGGGGCGGAGCTCAGGGTTGCCCCAGGGAACCCTCCGACCCGCTAGATAGAAGAGGTGAAAGTAACATACCGAAGAGCCGCGGTAACTCCTCCCCCTTGAGCAGCTGGGCCTGGGGCCAGGGGGAGCTACGAGTGCAGCTCCCCCGGCTCCGCCTCCCGTTCACCCTCTGCTTCCGCCTTCCGTCCCCGCCGCGGCCACCGACCTGAGCCTACTTCCACTTCCGGGGTCACTAGGGAAGAGACGGGAAGAAAAAGAAAAAACGGTTGGCAGAGGTGCGAGCCAGTCTAGCTAGCGCCCAGTCGAATTGGAGGCGGCCCGGTGGAGCACTGGCCCCACCCCTTAAAGGGCCCTCCGCGTGCTGCAATGGCTGTCCCGCAGGTTGAGCAAGTCGGTTCTGCAGCAATGCCTGCGGGCTGGGAACAGACTCTCAGAATTGCTCTGGCTGTATTCCTGGGCTTTGCCCAGATTGGGAGATGAAAAACAGCTACCAGGCCACGCATAGTCTGTTTCCTTTGCAGACAAAACGGGGAGCCATGAGAAGCCACCGTCTGGATACCTTCCTTGACGGCTGTAGCCAAGACAGAGGCCCCTTTGTATCCTATAGAGATGGAGCGAAGGAGTGGGTGCCCCGGCCAGCCCCAGCCCTGGCTCTGAAGCGCTGCCCCTCCTTTTCCAGCAGCCCTCAGCCTCCTCCGCTCCTGACCCAGCTGGCGAGCTGCCCCTAATAACTATAGCTCCCACGCCCCGGACCCGCCCCCTCTGGACGCGGTTCCCACACCGTGTCACAGAGCGAGGCCAGGGGACTGCGAGCGTAGCTCTGCAGGACTCAGAATCACAACCAAGTGCAGCAGAAAACTGCACTAATCTGCGTGCTATTTTGCATCTCATTTGCATACCGATCCTCTCGGTAGATGTCTACCTTCGCCCCGGTCCCCACGCAGACCCTGCAGAGTCCCCTCAGCGTACATGTCTAGCCTTACAATTCTGTTAGTGCCCCGTCTTGCTCCGCAAGTTTTTCCCCCCAGGAGTCCCCGCCAGCTCCCCCAGATCACTAAAAGCCCCTTCGCGGTTCCCCGATCCAGACTACCCGGTTCTCCAAAAGACAATACTCCAATTCTCTGGGAAGTGGAAGAAACCAAGCTAGAGCTAGGGGGGGTGCTGGGAGCCCACTTGGGACTTTGAGAGCTTTAAGTTGTGAAATCTTCTCCTAAGTATTCATACTTTGCCCCTACTTCTTGCTATGATCTCCAAGACCCTTTCCTGCTATCTTTGGGAGTCCTGATCCTGGATTAGAACAGTTAGCAACTCGATCTTCCCACACGCAGGGGAAAGGATTGGAGGGGCCCGCCACGTGATGTCACTCCCCCCTCACACACACACCCTGTCCCCTTCCTCCACCACCACCCCCCCCCCCCCCCCCCAGCTAGTTGCATTTAGCTCACAGGGTTTGGGCTACGACTTGCAAGAGTTTAGGAAGCAAAGAACAGTGGCCCTGGGAGTGCCTACGCCTGACACCCATCCCAACGTCTGAACCTCTGGGCTAGGATGCTGCTGGGAGTATAGGAAAGCATTTCCACCCCGCTCCTTTCCTGAGTCCTGGCAGGGTGGTGAGTAGCTAACCTTCCCTCCCCAACCTCCCCTTGTTTAGGGTCCCAGACTTATAAACGGATTGAGGGAAAGGAATTTTCCAAGCCAACTCTCAGCCTGTTAGGACCTTAATGTCCAAAAGACAGCTGAAGGAAAGTGCCTGCATCCATGCCATCCCACAATACCCCAAATGACAACTCCTCCTTGGTGATCTCCCTTCAGGATCTGTATTCAAATGCCATTGGCAGCCCTGATATCCCTGGGGGAAGGGAAGGGTGTGAAAAATGTCTTCAGTGTTCTTAGGGAGGAGCAAGGGGCTACCAGGATGTGAGATGTCTGTGGGCAAAGTGCCTGCTTATTCTATATAGGGCCATGGGATTTTAACTGTGGCTGCACATCCTTCCCCCCAACAACTCCACCTCAGCATGAAGCCAAGGCTTTAAAACCCTGACAAACTGAGGGTGACTGTCTCTGCTTAATTCCTTGTCCCAAACTCTTTTGGTATCTTTTGGGGAGATTATTTTTTCCCTCTTTCCCTGCTCCCTAGGATTGGAGCAGCTGTCCAGATACCCCACCATGACTCATTCTCTCCTCTTCCTCCACCCTTTCCCCCGTTAACCCCACCCTTCCCAATCCAGTGTGGTAGTATTGAGTCCCAGCTGCAGAGGCAAGTTTTCTTTTTAGCCGAAACAGGCTGCTTTAGCCCCCAGTCCCATTAGGGCTTTCCAAAGACTCAGGGCTTCCTAATTCTCCTACACTGACCCTGAAAAACTGGGCAGGGAGTGTGGGGCAGGGCAAAAGCTCATTATAAAATTTTCATTTAAGTTTTATTTAGTGTCCTTTTTCCAGAGGGTAGGAAAGAAACATCCTGCTCCCCTCAACACAGTCCTGTAGATTTCTTTAGTTACCCTGACAAGGCCATTCTTTCTTCTGATTGGCCATTTTTCAACAGAAAAAAAGAGGTACAGAGTCCTCAAGATCCATGGGTGCCTGAGTTCCTACCCCTGTCCCCTTGTAGGTTTCCCAACCCTTTAAGACATGCATGGATAGATGAGAGGAGCCAACACCAACCTTCCATTCTATGACCACGTTCTCTTCAATCATGGAGAAAGCCTTGCTGCCCTTAACTGTGACATCTGACCCCAGGCCCTTTAATCAACAACTCCCAGAGCCTCCAGACCCAAGATGTGTGTTGAAACCCCAGGACAATCCTGAACTAGCACCTGCCCTGGTGTGTGCCCTTTGCTGCTGCTTTGGAATCATCTACTGCTGCTTCGGTGAGGGCAGGGCCAAGGTCGGTGGGGGGCAGTTGCCCAAGACTATTACCCTCAAGGATGATGCAAATTTTATTCTTTGCTTCTGGGCCACCTCACCTCCTCTATCAAGGAACACCTACCTTCAGAGAGGCTCATGCTGCCCTTGGCAGCTTGTTATCCTTCCCCCTTGCCCATGTCATCCAGCTCTGATCTCTGGTGTCTATCATTTTCTCTCCTCTTGCTTCCTACCTCAAAATTCCATTCCCAAATTATCTTCCATGCTTCAGACTTTACCAGAAACCTGAACCAGCCTGTGGGCAATTTCTTCTTATATGCCATCCCTGGAAAGACTAGACCTTCCTATTCTTTCCTCAACACATCTATTGTATCTCCTGATTCCCCCCCCCCCCCATTCCCCACCCCCCTCCCCCCCTCCCCCCCCATCTCCTCACAGTTCCTGAATGCTTCTCCTCCCCAAATTTATTCCTTCCCCCCTTTCTTTGAGGTCCCCTTGGTGCTCCTGTCTTCCTCCTCTGGTTAATCATTCCTCTTACAATTCACCACAGGCATCCCTGTAGAACCTCCTTTCTGCTTCTCAGTACTTCCTGCCTCCATTCCCAGGCTACCGCTGTTTTAAGGCAGTGATGTTTCTCTCGGGCCTGCTGTCTGGAGCTCTGGTCATCTTCCTGCTGTGCCACAAGGAACAGGTGCTGGAGACACAGCTAAGCCTGGAGGTGAGCGCAGGCATCGCACTGGGCATCGGACTCCTCTGCGGCCTGGTCACCATGCTAGTTCGCAGTGTTGGGCTCTTCCTGACTGGTCTCCTATTAGGTCTGACCCTGGGTGCTGGGGCTCTGCTGAGCACTGAGCCCATCTACCAGCCCCCATCAGCCTGGGTGCCAGCCGGGGGGCTGGTGGGGCTGGCATTACTGGGAGCCCTGCTCACGCTTCGGTGGCCACGTCCATTCACAGTTCTGGGCACAGCCTTGCTGGGTGCTGCAGTGCTCGTGGCCTGTGCTGACTACTTCCTGGAGGGGCTGTCACTGGGCAGTCGGTTGGGCCAACGCCTGCAAGCACTTCCAGCCTTGTCTCCTCTCTGCTGGTATAGCTGGGTCTTACTGGGGACCTGGCCAGCCTTGGGGGCTCTTGGGGCCCTGGCCCAGTGGAAGCTCATGGCTGAGGAACATGGAGGCCACGCCAACGGTGAGTTAGTATTGCGGTATAGAAACAGCCAGCCTGTGCTTACTCATGTCCCCAGTTCTCAGACTTGAGAGGGGGAAGGGGAGAAAAACACTTGAGGGACAAGGATCGGGGAGGATATCCAAAGTAAATGGGGCAGAGCATGAAGGAAAGTTAGGGTACAAGTAGCCAAAGAAGCTCAGGGTAAAAATCAGAAGCAAAATCGGCAGGGGATGCAACAAAGACTTATTTGGGACAGGTATGAGAGGAAAGGAGAGGATCCCAGGGAAGTCCAGGAGGGAAAAATAGGAGAATTCCAACAACTGAAGGGAAGCTGAGCCTTGAGAGAACCCTAAGAAGAAGGTTAAATGGGCTTCTGTAGAGTGACTATATTTGGGGGTGGGATTCAGGGCCTAAAAACGATTAGAGTCCTTATTACTCCCTCCCAAGCAGTGGTCTTGAGCCACCAGCGAAGGCGTCTCCAACTTCTTCAGATCCATCATCAGCAAGAGGCCAAGTGGCACCGAACTCCATCTGGGGTGGGACCATGTGAGGGCAGCTATCGGCGCCAGCTGCCTGCCAATACCCGGAGCCCTGCTGACAGTCTGGCTCCAGTGAGTGGGAAGAATGGGACAGCCTGGGGGGCCACTGTGGCAGAGGGCATATGGAGGTGGTCAGGGTGGGAGTAGTGTTCTGATCCAGGTTCCTCCTCTTGCCCTCTCTGCCCTGTACCCCTTCAGAGTTATCTCCAGAGTCTTCAAGAGCGCCAGCTGGGACCAAGCATCCAGGTGTCAGACCCCTATACCATCCTGAACCTGGATTCTGACTGTGGTTCCACTCTACCCCTCACCACACCCTCTGCTCCCATTCAAACCTAACCCTCTGCTGATGCTCCTGCCCTTAGTATGGGCCCACAGAACCTACACACAAACTTCCCCACCTCTTGGACTTGGGATGGGATTTGTGCTCCAGACCAGACTTGTAGGGATGTATTTCAGGGACAGACACAGAGGAATCTCATGGGGAGGGGAGACGAATGGAAGTAGAGTACCTACCTCTTGCCACAGTCCGGCTGGGCCAAATAACCGGGAGGTGACAAGCAACTTGAAGGTTGAAGCGGGAACTGCTTTATTGTGGGGAAACTCAGCGGGAACTGAGCGGGAACTCAAGGTAGCGGGCACCCAAGGTAGCGGAGCCGCTTTATTGCAAAACAGCAGAGGTATATATACCTAACTGATTACACACAGCTTGACTCCATTAGCATCATCTAGATACAGCAGTCAGCCAATAAGGAATCCCCATCATCTTAATGGCTCGGTGGCGTTGCCTCACAAACCACTCCTCTTAGCAAACTGACAGGCGCCATCTTGATTTGCGGTCCCCAACAACCTCTGACCAATAATACAGGTACTTTGGTCCCTAGAGATACTGACTCCCCAATTCCCTCCAAACTAAGGAGAGCCATCACCCAAATAACCTTTTAAATACTGTTTCAGTATTTAAAAGGTTATTTGTTAAATAACAAATGTTAAAATAAGGGGCTTTGTTTTTGTAGGACCTGTAGAAAATCAGGGAGCCTCCTAAGGCATGTGATAGCTTTTTAATGGAAAGCATGACACAAAAGAGCTCCTCCTTAAGGGGTAGTTGGGTTTCTAGAAGGGTTTGCCCCCTGGCTCCCATAGATTGAGCCCCCTTCTCCTACCTCAGTGGGGAGCACCATCCCCCTTTTCTCAACCTGGGAAGATCACAGCACCTGCCTCAGCACCAGACTCTCCAAAAGCTGGCTTCTTGCTTCAAGAAGAGAGCATTGTCCTCATACGAGAGTCCTGCCCTTTTGCCCAAAAGAGCCTGGTCTTCAGGGCTACATGGGAGACAAGTGCCTTCCCCGCCTCTCACTGTGGATGATACTCATTTTCTCTGTAACCAGAATTTTGTACCAGCCACTAACCCTTTCTAACTCTCCCTACTCTCACTCTCCTGCCCAAGTTCATGTTCATGTTTTCAGTCTCTCAAATCCCTGTTTTCCTAGATAGCATGAAGACACAGCCCTCCCCTAGGCAGCAAGGCTATGATGGGAGGGAGGAAGAACATGGGAACATGTGAATAAAATGGCATTGAAAACTGAACCTATGATAACTGGCCTCTACTGTTGCTGCCCTTTTCTTACTCTGTTACCCCAAAATAAAGAGATAGCCATATTAAAAATTTTTCTGTTCCCTAAATATCTGACCAGGGGTACCCTTGATGGATAGACCACTGTAGGTGCTACACACCCAGATAGCTAGAGGAAGAACTACCCATCCTGATCCTCCTTCCTCAGCCTTCCAAGTAGCTAGGATTACAAGCATGTGTCACTACACCCAGTAGAGTTAGCCTTTATTAAACAGAAATGTGCAAGACACTGGTGCCAAGCACTCCATATGGAATATTGTCATTTAACACAACAACCCTACAGGATTGGGAATCTAAGATTCAATGAGGCTAATTAGCTTGCCCAAAGTCACAAACAAATTAATGTGATTCTCAATAATTCCAAAGCCCTTGTTCATTTTACTGACTATGCTGTTTTCTTGTACTTTATCTAAGGAGAATAGGACCCAGGTATCCAGCTTCCCCAGCTGTTGCCACCTGTCAGGAAAAGACCTGACTGAGGCCTCCCTCCACCATTGTCTTCCACATAACACAGCTGGAACTGCTATCTAAGAGAAAGATAAAATGGATGGAGCTGGAGTTAACGGGAAGTTCCCAGGAGAGCAGAGAAGAAAGAGCAAAGAAGCAGATGAAACTTTTAGGGACCTGAGGTCCATGGTTCATGATCCTTCTGTAGTATCTGTATGGTGAAGGTGTTCCACCTCCCACTGTCTTGACAAGGTCAAAGTGAGGAGGGCAAGTATTTGGCAAGGCTGCACTTGTGGGAAACCAAACCCTTTTTTATGTAATTGGGACTTTTTATTTTATACTCAGCCTTACAGAAGGCATGAGTATACTTTAAATTCTAGATGGCCAAGAATATAACAGGTGGTTCATGACTTAAAGGCTGTTTTACTATCTCTCAGGACATTGAGAACAAAACAGAAAAATATCAACAGTCATTCTGGGAAATGTTATAGGAACTCTAGGCACCATGATTGATTATATCAACCAAGAATCCAAGTTCATATTTTCAGTCTCTCAAGCCTAAGTAGATAGTTATCATGCCTATTGCACAAAGCCCACCATATATAGCCTATTTAATTAAGGATAGGATATGGTATTCATCCAGGGGAGAAAAGGTTAGTAAAAATATATCTTCTTTCTAATAGACCCTCCTTTACATACGGATTTAAGATAAGCATAGTTAATGTTAGCGGCAGGGGGATTGACATGCAGAGCCTGTCCTTTAGTTAAAGATTAGTAAAGAACTGGTGTACTTTGACTAAGGAAAAAGGAAACTCTCTGAGAAAGCAGCTCAACCAGTTTTATGAGAACAAATGTAGGCATTTTTAGATGCTTTTAGAATATAAGATTGTTATTAAGGGGACTTTTAGATGGGATCTTAAGTACAGGTGTGCTTTAAACTTAAAGGTTAATGACAGGCTAGGAGACATAGAGTCTGGTTACATAGTTTGGTATCTGTTAAATAAGAGAATGTCAAATCTGGAGATTGTAAATTGATGACGCATTTTATTAATGATTCTGTATCCAAGATGATGAGAAAAAATAAAATAAAAGGAGACAGACAGAAAGCAGCTGACAGTTCTCTCTCTGGAGATTGTGTCTAAGAAAGGACTCCATCCCTTGCACCAACGCCACTCATCCTTCAGGACCCCCTGGACCCCTCTGAGGCAGGACCCCAGCACCTGTGTAGTTCCAGTGAGCAGACATTTGATTAGGTCTTAGGCCTCTGGAAGGGGACATTAGCAGGAAGTGAAAGGGTGGTGGAGTTTATAGCTGAGGTCGTAATATCCAAGATTGTGTCTGTGGGTGAGTGGTCAAGATTCAAGGTGGTCTCCATGGTGGAGGAAGTGGTATTCAAGGTTATGCCTGTGGCTGAAGAAGTGTTGTCCCCAGTTGAGCGGGTAGTGCCTAGAGTCTGGGGATGACAATGCATCCAGTTGTGGGCAGTATTTCTGGGATAGCCTTTCTCTACCAGAAGCTGCTGGTTGAGACGCCAGTATTTTTTCCCCTTGAAGAAATAGACTTGACCATCGCGCCAACTCATAGCTGCTGAGGGCTGGTCTGGCACTCCAGAAAACAATTCCTTGATTGGTTTGGGGTAGCGGCTGAAGTCAATTCGAGCCAGCTCATCCCACTGCCAGTACCCGGAGCCCTGGTTGTCAAGTAGACAGGGAGAAGAGAAGGATGAGGAGAGAGCACCAGAGGTTTATCCTCCGCCCACCACAACAGCAGTAGGTCTCCCTTAAGAGCAAGTCTTTACTTTTAAGTATAAGCCCACCCCTGCTAAGAAAGGATTGCTCTTGCTTCGAACTTTATACCTTAAAGAGGAAAATCTTTTGGTTGAAAGGCCAATAGAAAGCTGCATCCAGGTTAGGTTCTACTCTATTCAGTTTCTTGGGGAAGCCAGGAGACATCTTGAAATTAATGTAGCGCCACACCTTGTCTCCTGAGAGTATATAAGGAAAGAACAAGTTACTTCTGTCGTCAGGTGATAGCTTTTGGTCCCTCTATTCCACCCTTTCAGAAATTCTCAACTCCCCCTCCCTTTATGGCTTCTTTAAGTAAGACACTGCAACTAGCCCCCTTACCCTTAAAGAAGTGAATCCATTGTGTTCGAGGAGAGTAGACAGCAGCATCCAGGTTCCCTGGGAGTCCCTCCCAAAGAGCAGACACTAGGAACATGGGCCCCAGTCCTGAATCTGTCACAGTCCACACATAGTTCCCCTTGAATGCATAAGTCTTCCCACGGGGCCCTGAGAACAAAAGTGTCATCAGCAAGGCAAAAGACACCGTCAAAAAGACAAAGACTTGGACTGGGGTTGTGGCTCAGTGGTAGAGTCCTCGCCTAGCATATGTGAGGCCCTGGGTTCGATCCTCAGCAACACATACAAAAATAAAATAAAATAAAGATTAAAAAAAAAAGACAAAGACTTGTAGGTGTCTCAGGTAGACTGCTAATCTGCCCTCCTGCTCACAGGCAAATTCTTCAAAAATCCATTCAACTTTAATTCAAGTAAAAAAATTAAAGACAGAGAAAGAGGACCCAGTGCTCAGCCTCTCCTTTATTGTTTAGAGTATTTTATCTCTGGTCCAATCAACAAAAACAAAAGCTCTGCAGATAGCCATTCTTCCTTGGGAGTCTCATGCCCTACCCCAAAGTGGGCTCCTAATTGTCTTCAACCAGGTATAAAGCCCTCTTTAATAGACCCTCTAGTTAATTCTATCTTGCTGCATTTCCAGAAGTGTTCTAATGGCCCTTAGAGTATGGCAACCTCAATAAATACCTGCTTGGTCCCCTTTTAACTTGGCTCTGAACCCTCCCTTTTTATATACATATCTTCTTCCTTGGTCACCAATACCTGCCTGGGTCTAACCTCCATTGCTCATGCTGTAGTCTCATGTCATTACCATCTATCTAGGCCTCAAGATCAGTGAGCTGCCTCCATTGTCTGCCTACATCCTTGAGGGGAAGGGTCTCACCCATCATCATGGCATCCAGTTCACCACTGCAGGGGTTTGGCATGGGACCAGGTTCCGTGGGCACTGGGGGTACAGTGGGCACCTCCATATCTTCTTCCTCATCTCTTGGCCTCTTCTTACCTACAAAGTAAAATAATATTTGCTTGGGAGAGACATACAGCACCTGACCTCTCCACCTGTCCATTGTAAGTTCTGCTCAGTGGCCCCACAGAGAGGGGGAAAAAGAATACTAGGGACTTTTCCTTGGTGATGTGCAATATCCTTGCAAGAGACATTTTAGTTTTGAGAGGCACCAGAAATGGTGATGGACATTTACTAGAATATGTATTCTCTGTCTCTAAGAACAGGTGTGAGAGGAGAGAGACCTGGGTTAGACAAGCAAGAGTCAAAGAGAAACTATTCCTGAAAATGAAGAAGTCTGAAAAACTGGGCTGTAGGAAGAGAAAGAAATCAAGCCATTTCCCTCCATAGAAGCCAGACCTGTCTCTTCAAAT